TTCCTGCCTTGACTCTTGTTAATCATGACTCACCATTGCAAGAATTTGGCATTTAGTCTCATTTATATAGTTACACAACAGTAGCGCTTTAAATGAAATCTCATGACACCAAATGTCTGTGCAGATTCTCAGTCATCCAGGTCATAGTAAGCGGAAAAAAATTAACATTAAATCTCATGACACCAAAACACAGTACAGCTGGAAAAAAAGTGAACAGATTTTAGTTGGAATCTCCTGCTGCTCATTTTATGTGAATGTATTTGCTCCTGACATCAAACCTTTGCTGGGAGATGTAGTCCTTCCAGAGAGTCCTGCCCTGAGGTAATCTTGCAGTCAGTGGTACTCGGTACACCTGCCAGGTATTCGGATGCTGGAGTTGAGATCCGGACAAGTTACCAGTGCGGCTGGTGCTTATAAACACATCGCAGAGGTCTTTGCCTCATCACTTAGTGTGAAATAAGGCCATATGGCCTTTAGAGATGTTTCATTTTGACTGCTTACATGTGCAGCCACATTTGTTGGATGTGCACAAGAGGGTCAGATTCAAGATTAACCATATTATTACTTTGAGAATCAGCAGATCTGATCTGATATATATAACTGGCTGTGTCCATCTCTGGATTTTTGTTTCACTCATGAAAAAAACCTAAAGATATTAATTATTATCGTTCTTTGTTAGTGTGATTGTTTTTTGATTAGGCAATCCATTGTTTAGTTTAGGAAATGCCTATCTAAGGCGATGTTTTGAATGCCCAACATTTTTAGAAAAAGTCACACGAAAACAATGACTTTCTGGGCCATATATCTTTATATCATCAGGATGTTATAACATGTGGCAATCAGGCGTTGCTCACTAATACTGCTGTGTGCCAAATATCCCCAGGACCTCGCATGCTCACAACACACAAACTAAGTCTAACTGCAAAGGCCACAGGTTATAAATAGCAAGCAAACGGGACAGAGTGGACCCCCAGTGCAAGTAGTTTTCACTTGTTTGTTTTTCATTTTTCTTATGATAGCTAAGTTATCCCTTGATAATTAATGATGGGCTCTGCCTTTGCGTGATATTTTTCTTCATTGTTTTAGTTGGCTTGTTGTAATCTGATGTATGATTACAGCCTGTATGAGAAAGACGGATGCTTTGAATTGTTGGATTGTTTGTTCAAGTTGGTGTGTGAAAGTGAATCAGCTACAGTGGCTTTAGAAAGTACTTTCCTTCCCTTTCTGCACATGCTATGCTGTTGTAAATTTCAGTTTAAATTGACAAAGTTGCCATTTTGTCCTTCAGTCTAAGATTTCAGTTGTGAAGGACTTTCTGAAGCTACTGCGAAGTGTGCAAATTTCAGATGTGATTAGTTTTTATCATGGCTTTTTGTCTAACCAGAGTTTATCTCTTATATTTGTTTCCGCTCATGCTCTGTTATGGAGGAGCAGATTTTATGGTTTGGTTCCAACAAAGTAAGATTGTAGCTTGTTTATTATGTGAAAGTGGAGTAAACCTGTTTTGTTAGCTGTCAGACAGTATCATTTAATATTAAAAATGTGAGGTCCTTTGAGATTGAGCTTTGAATGTAACCTGAGGGGACAACATGCCAGGTTCTCTTGTCCGTGAATTAAGGTATTCTGAGCCAGAACACTGTAGCTTTAATTAACCTGATGGAAGAAGCAACGCTCACACTTAGCTCCTCTTTATACAGACCACAGGAAAAGGTTGAAACCAGAGCTGCTTCCTGTTGTGCTGGTGTTGAAATATAATTTGTGATATACTATGTTTAAGTATGACCCACAGCAAAAAATATAGCAGGCAAAACCTAGAGGGAAACATATTAGATCATTTGTCAAGACGGTTTTATTTAGAAAGGATGTTTCCCTTGTGGCTTGGCAGCAGTTTGATTTATATTTTTAATGGCCTTAGGTTGCCACATATGGTTATTTCTAGGTATTAGAAATGTTCTAAGCTTAGAAATACAAGATCTTTACAAATGTTAAGCTAGATTAAACATTACATTTGACTGTTTACTAAACCTTAACCTCCGTACTTACCGTTTCTACACCTGTCAAGGTGTCCATTCTTCCACAGCACATAACTGGGTTTACGTTAACAGTGGCAGATTTTACCACTCAGAATTCCCCAATTTCAGACAGGTGTTGACAGTAAGCTTCTTATTTTTACTTGATAACGGCTGAATTTGACAGCAGAAATGGCAGCTGTCTCTAACTGGTTTTTCCAGGTGTAGATAGCTAATTAAACTATCCTTAGATCAAGTTGGATGAAAATGCCGTCTCTTGCTGACTCGTGATCCCTGGAAACGAGGTCTAACAATACTCGTGCACTTGTTGCCAATACAGAAGATATCTTGGGTTTCCTAGAGTGTAATAAACCACTCCAAATCCAATAAAGAGTAGAACAGACCTGCTAACATTATCCTAAACTTGGATGTCTGATGTCCTAGCCACAAACTGAGCTCTTCTGTCAGTAACCTTTAATCCCATAAACTAAGTGTGCTTATGCGCTCCTTGACCTTTGAAATAACACTGATGAATTAAACTAATTAGCTGGAAATGCTAACAGTTTCAGCTTCTGTTAAGGGAGTTGGTTTACTGAACTGTCATTTGGAGAATGGATATTTACTTACATTTTGGCTACTTTGTTAGTCATGCGATCTTGATCCAGTTTGTAGTTTCTCTAATGCTGTCTCTAGATCAAAACTCAATACCTTTGCAGCTGTTGTTGTTATAATCCAAACCAGTTAGGCTCAGAGTGCAGGAGAGATTTTGAGCAGATGACCATGATAATACAGTATGTTGGTGCAGTTTATGCTCTCTGTGTTGTATTATTAGTGCAAAAAGTTGGAACTCTGAGGCTAAAAGTAAAGGACTTGAATTTTCTCTCTATTTGTCATACATGCTCTGTCTTGCTTTTGAGAGCCTGCTCATATCTTCAGCATTAGATGATGATTTAAAAAAATATTTCATGTTTTTTATAGTGATATCCAAATTTGAAAAGTAAAACATGATTTACATGTTCCTTCTTTCGGCCTCAGGGTTGAGGATGATTCCCTGCTAATTATGTGGTTTTGTTTGGCTCGTATTAGCCTCCCTCATTTCTATTTCAGTACAGTTGATTACATTGTTGGTATCGCCACCCTGTTTAATGCCATTGCCCCCTTCGTCCCCTTTACAGTTATCCGTCTGAAAGGGAGCTATTGGTCACACATGGCTATGCTCAGCTGAAGTTTGCTGAACTTTATTTCTCCTTTAACATGACCTTACAACACCTTTTTTTTTATTTTATTGTCCACAGAGACATAGCAGACCCTCACACAAGACAGCACCCAAGATCACACAGACAGAGCTATGGTGGAGTACTACCAGATATTAGGAGTCCAGAAAAATGCAACGCAAGAGGATATCAAAAAAGCGTAAGTGCCCCTAGTGTTTTCTGCTCTATTTTTTCCTGGTGTTTTATATGTTGGTCACTCAGAAGGGTGTAATAGGTTAATTATATCTGCCTCTAAGCAGACATGAGGAAAGAGAGCAGAGAGATTGCGCTGCAGGAAGTTTCCACTGTTCCTCCTGTAACCTTGCTGCTGTCAAATACCTTCCTCCTAAACTCACCCACCTCTCATAGTCACCCAGTTAATTCTAAGCTGTACTTAATGTTTATTTCCATTTTGCAAATGTTAACATGCTAGCATGTATCAGTATTGAAGTACAGTATATGCCAGCCATTTAATGGATGAAGAAAAATGCCAAAAGTATGTTTTGAAATGGTCTCACTGAAATATAGTTGTCCTGCCTGGTACATTTTTTTATTTTCAATTATGTATTTATGTATACTTACTTAGGTTAAAGGGTTATAAAAATACACATCAGCCAATATGTCACTAGTGGATTTCTTTAAAGTAAAAAAAAAAAAAAAATCTGTGTCAATATTGGCCTCAGAATATCTGTATTGGTCAGGCTACATTTAACATGATAAACATTACAGGTGCCAAAAATCAGTGTTAACATTGTTAGAAAGTTTGTATAATGACACTAGCATTTACTTACTTGTTCAGCTGACCAGGCTTTAGACAGCTAGATAATGTCACAGATAACAGACATCGACTACAAAAGACTATTCACCATAGATCCATGAGGGAGCCAATCCCTGGATTGTGCAGCCTTTCTTGCTGCCTGACTGTCAGTTTCCACAGCATCTCTGTCCACTGCTGGGCTTGGAAACAAACAGCTGGTGCAGCATAAGCCACGGTATAAGGTCTACGCTGCACGTCAGTGGGGTCAGGTCTTTGTTATTTCTGCTTGGGTGGGGAGAAGGACTGTGTGTGTATAGAGAAGTGGTGGTTGTCGTTGGTGTAGTTGTGGTTGCCATCCTAAAAGAAGATGTGCATGCATTTCTGATATGGTGGTGTATGTGTGTTATATGTGCATCAAAGTTTGTCTAACTGTATTTACACAAGGTATATGTTCCAGTTACAGAAAATTGGCACTGAAGTGGCACCCAGACAAAAACCCAGACAACAAGGATGAAGCTGAGAGGAGGTTCAAAGAGCTGTCTGAGGCATATGAAGTGCTCTCAGATGGTAAGATTTTTCTGCAGAGATAAATTATTTTATATAGTCATGTTGAGCACTGCCTTTTTATTGTAGCAACTGATATTTCTCTGAAGTGCACAGTTTTAAATGAGCTGCAACTATGGAAGCTGACTTTTGTCTTTCCTCATCTATGACAGAGGAGATTGTAGCAGTATCTGAATGGTAGTGCAGTCCTGGTGAGATAAGCCTTAAAGGAAAAGGCCAGTCATTTTCTGTATTAATAGTACTGTCAGCAATCTCCATACAGAGCTGTCAGTCTTGGATTAGCTTGTTCATCTGTGTGTGATGGATCTCAGGGAAACACACTGGGTGACAACTATTTACATTTAGAAACTGAGCAGCCAGTGACATTATATATAGTTGATTTAAATAGGTCGCAGGTTAAATCTTGCATGACAGACGGCTGTCTTATAGTTCCATCCATCCATCCATTTTCCTCTGCTTATCCGGGACCGGGTCGCGGGGGCAGCAGTCTAAGCAAAGACTTCCCTCTCTCCAGACACTTCCTCCAGCTCCTCCGGGGGAATGCAGAGGCGTTCCCAGGACAGCCGAGAGACCTAGTCACTCCA